TAAAGAAGGAATGTAACTGGCCCAAGGCATTCCAAGCACAGGTAAAAGCATGTGAAAGTTACAGAAGAAAAAACAGGACCCTCTGGAAGAAGACCAAGCAATTCGGAATGGCCAGAACTGGGTGCTCTGAGGCTGGGTAGAGGGAAAGGACTAAATTGAAAATGACAATGAAAGCATGTTCTGGGGTTAGATCAGGGGAGGACCTTCCCCATCAAGTTAAGTAGTTCCCATCTGTCTTCTAGGGAAATGACCAACAGAGGCAGGAGTGTGGATGTGTGCTCACAGAAAAATTGAAAGCAGAGAGTGATAGTAAGAGATACAGGTTTTGTCTTTAATACACAGAGAAAGTTATTCAACATTTAGCTTAGACATAAAGTAAACTAATTACATATACCTATGTGGCCCTTCTTTTAACCACTATCTCTCTGCACCTGGGATTGGTCTCTCTATGCCACAATTAGGTCAGGTTCTCATTTTTGCCCTTTCTGCTTTGGGGTGGCATGCTTCTCTCCTAACTGCCCATTTCTGAGCCCATAATTAGGTTCTCTAGGCCAGCTAGAGAGAAGTCTGGTGACTGTATGGAGGTGAGAGAGGAATACAGTCAGGGAAGCTAATGAGACAGTCTAGAAAAGAGTGACTAGAGACTGCAAAATAGGAGGGCACTGATCCCATTTGTCTCAGAGGACCCCAAAGAAGAAAACCAGAATCTACTCATGCAATCTGATAGTCTCAGCTGTCTAACAATGCAACAAAGCACCTTGATTTGTTACTGTAGCTCTTTAGACAAACTAGAGGCCTATCTGGCAGTGAGAGGATTTAAAAGGTTCTATTTTGGCATAAATTACCCCAAAATAGAGTGATTTAAAACAGCAAACATTTACTATCTCAGTTTCTGTGGGTGAAGAATTCAGGAGTGGCTTTGTTGGGTAATTCTAGCTCAGAGACTTACACTCTACTCTCCCTCATGAGATTCAGTCAAGAAATCTGTGCAAGGCTGCTGCAGTCATCTGAAAGTTCATTCAGAGCTGAGGCTATATTAGCAAGAAGTCCCAGTGCCTTGCTGGCTATTGGAAAGAGGTCATAGTTTTTTGCCATGTGGACCTCTCCACAGTGCTGCCTTACTGTCCATACAACATGGCAGTTGGTCTTTCTTTTATTACTTTTTTTTGTTGTTGTTGTTTATTTTGCCCCTGCCGGGCTTTATATTAACATATAATGTATTATTCGTTTCAGGGGTATAGGTCTGGGAATCCTCAGTCTTACACAATTCACAGCACTCACCATAGCACATACCCTCCCCAGTGTCCATCACCCAGCCACCCCAACCCTCCCGCCAGGCAGCTGGTCTTTCTGAGAGTGGGAAAATAAGGAGGATGCCATAACACTTTTTCTGATCTAGCCTCAGAAGTCACACACTATCACACTGCCAAATTCTTATGCCTTGGAAGATTGTCTCAAGGGAGAGGAATAAGCTCCACCTCTTGCAAACAATTTATGGACAAAGCACATGTAACAAGGTCAAACAAGAGGATTTTGAATATTCCTTCATATGTGAGATTTACCAATTCTATTCATGAATCAGTGAACAGAGGACAAACCTTGAAAGTGCCCTGTGTTTGAGTCATCCCACCCTTGAAGTGGCCTACTGGGGCTCTTTTAATTGATATATTTGTCAAGAGGAGAGGTTCAGTAATGGATTTCTGGAAACTCCAAGTGACAATGGGGTTTGATTGACACTGCTCTTACAGTGTTATGGAAACACTACTTATGATTTTCAGAAAAGAGAGTGGACACAGAAAAAGCTCAAGGTAGAAACTATTTTAATTATACTATTCTTTGGATAAAAAATGATAGACCAATATATAGTAATCCAATTGTTGTTGTTTTGATTTTGGGAATTGTCTTATTTGGACTGTAGAAAAGAAAGACTTCTGAGCTCTCTTGGTTACTAGATATTACTAAGCATTACAGAGCCAATGAGTTTGTGAAGTTAAACTCTCATGAGGGTTTTATAAGGCAATAAATGAGAAGTCATGGTTCAAACATGAAGCAAATTAGGTTGTGGCCTGCTTCAGAGCAACTGACAGGGTATAGCATGGGAGAATCCATTTGACCTTGATGTTTGAAATATTCTCCCTTTTACAGGCAGAGGTTTATGACAGACTCTTATTTTCTTATGAGTCCAATCTACTACTGGGATCTGCCATGAATAATATATAGTTTTGGTACTGCCAATGCTGGTTACTAATTGGCACTATTCAGAACCTCTAATCAAGATGTAGAAAACAAGTTAGGTATAGGACAGAATGTGGATGTTAATAACCATGACAGTATTGCTAGAGATTGAGGTGAGGGTTGGGAGTAAGGAAGAAAGAAAAAAGAAGAACACATGAAATTTCCTGAACTTACATAGTCAAAGAGGTGAGGTATGGTTGATAGAGACTGTCTAAAGTTGAGGAATCAAGAAATAAATTAAGAAATAGTATGTTACATGGGGCGCCTGGGTGGCTCAGTGGGTTAGGCCTCTGCCTTTGACTCGGGTCCTGGGACTGAGCCCTGAATCGGGCTCTCTGCTCAGCAGGGAGCCTGCTTCCCACCTCTCTCTCTTTCTCTCTGCCTGCCTCTCTGCCTGTCAAATAAATAAATAAAATCTTAAAAAAAAAAAAAAGAAATCGTATTTTACAGTTGCGATAAAATTAAAATTTATGATTCAAGTTAGAGGAGAAGTCTAACAAAAGTCAGGAGGAAAGGGAGTGGAAACTGGTGTTAACTACATTCTTAATTTTTTTTTTTCCCCAAAAGGAGTCACAAACTACTGACCAATCAAGAAACAGAAGCATGAAATTATTCTATAGAATGAACATGTTTCCTACAAGAATAACCAAAACCAGAGACTGGTGGCTCTGGGACTGGGGTGACCATGGTGACTTTCACATCTCCTCTCCTATCCTTTTGTACATAGATTACTCTTTTGAACAAATGTAAAAATCCAATCCATGTAGTTGGTGTCATCTACAAATTGATACTAGCCTATGTTCACAAGGTTTTAGTAGATAAACTTCACAAATATTAAACCCTCTAGTTAGTTTTAACAAATGGCAAGATTTCACTTATTTTAGAAATTCACACTTTACATTTCATTCTTCTTCTTGAAACAGAGAGTGGGAATCAGTTTACAAATTACTAACTTGGTGATTTAAAGTATTTGACATGATTTCAAATTCTATGATTTATCCTTAAATATACATTTCTATACTATACCACCAAAAATGAAAAACAAAAAAACTTACAATTTCCAGGATTAACTCTAATGGGCAAGAGTCCAGGCTCAGTAAAGAACTGATAATCCATCCTAGGAATAGTCTATAAAGCAGTTTTAATAACTAGCTCCCACTGGCCCCCAGTACTAAGGATTATTCTGAGTTTTTATGGAAGGCCCAGGTACACCCTCCTACAAACTCCCTTCTATGCAAGCATGGAATATTTCTTCAAAGGATTGAACAATAATTAAGATACTAAAGAAGCAAATGGCTAATTTGTCTTGGTTTAACCAAAGACAGTCATTTAAACTACATTTCTTGGGAGCAACCTGGGTACCAAGTATAGTGGGTGGAAAGAGAAAAGGGGCGGGGGAGATGAGGTTAGTAGTCAGAATCCAAAGTGCTTTTTTCTTCCCCTTTGAGGACATTGGGCGAAATTTTTATGAAAGCTCTTTCAGCTTCTATAGAAAAACTACTTTTCTACACTCATAAGAAATTCTTGGTTTTCTAATTTACAGACTCACTTGTACTACAGTAATTCACAATAATCATACAATATAGATCAGGCACCTCTCACACCTTCTGTAAGAAATTTTATAGAAAGGGTTGAACTACAGTTCAACAGTTCCTATCGATGATCTACAACACTTATATTAAAAAAAATACTTATGGAAGAATGGATAAATACACAGTGGTGTATCAGTATAATGGAATACCACAAAGCAATAAAAATGAACAAACTACTGCCACATATAACATGCACATCAGATACATGTATTCCATTTATATAAAATATAAACCTCAGAGAAACTAACCATGGTGTCAAAAGTCAGCATAGTGGTTCACTTTGGAGAGATAAAGAATGGGGGTGGGTTATCTGGGGGCTTGGGGTTAGTGGTGAAGTTCTGCTTTTAATCTGTGTGCTGCTTGCATGGGTGGGTTCAGTTTATAATAATTCATCAAGCAGTTGCAGTTATAAGTCGTGTACTTTCCTGAAAATATATATAATTAAAAAGTCAATTTAAAATAACAGATGAATGGATTAGAAAAAGGGCCCTCTATGGGCAGAAGTAGTCCACAGGTTTGTGCCTTGGAAAATGGAAGACTGGCTGGTTTTTAACCCCAGTGGTACACTTGGCTAGACACAAAACTGCACATCTGGATGGACATCTGCAAATCTGCAAAACACTCACTTGACCCTTCTTCACCACACCTTTATGAGGAGGGCAGGGCAGATGTCCTTATTTTACAGAAGAGGAAGTGGCACAGAACAGTAAGACCCAATGCACAAAGGCGTCATAGCTAATAAGCGATGGAGCCAGAAAAGATTCCTAGGCCAGTAGCTCTTCACATGGTTCTGATTCCGTTTTGGGAGGGGCCACAGTAAGAAGCTTCTTTCTATGTTTGTTACTATGTATGCTGTTATGGGTCACCAGTGCTTTGTGGAACAAGGCAGGAAATAAATACACAGTCCCAATGTTCTTAATTTTCGACTTTAGTAAAGGTCCTAGGTTCTAAGCCCATTTGAAAAATATGCTTTAAGCATTCATTTAAAAATGAATATTCATCTTTTACATGTTTACCTATGCAAAAAGATCAAAAGAACAGACATGTGTAGATACCAGTAGAGCATTCTGGCCTTCCCATACCTTAACATTATTAACTTAAGGACATAATTCTTTCCATATCTTGAAGAAATGAAAGAGAAAGACACACACATAAGGTATATGTCCAGCTTACCTAGAAGTGTCTGCTTATCTTGGGAGGAGTCAGAGTCTGCAGAACACCTGCAAGTTCGAAGAACAATCACTCCTCCCAGCACACCATCTTCACTGGCCAGGAAAGGTGAACCTAGACAAGAATGGCAAATGGTCATTTTTTCATGAATTTTACTTCTATTTTTTTTTTCAATTTTCATTTGAATATAAGAACAAAAATGTGGTATGAATAAGATCTTGAAAGATGCCCATTTTCTGACAACCACCATTGTTTTTGCCTTGTATAGGCTTAATGGCAAATGCAGGCTTATGCCCGAACAGGGGCCATTTGGCAAAGACAATCCCAGATGCTGCCAAGAAGACTTGACTGGGGGTGAAGTGTGCGTTACAGTCTTCGGAATGGAACTGGAAACACCACCAGATTAAAGGACCAAAACACAAATACAGGAAAAAATGCTCAGCAAGTCTCTTTGATCAGCTCTTAGGGATCACTTACCAGGCTCTCCCTGCTGTCAGGGACATGCCACCAAAAGCTTTGATTTACTACCTTAAATTCAATTTTAAACAATAAGCCACAAACTTTATTACAAACATTTAAAAATGATCCTGATGGTTTACACAAATAAGGGTGAAATTGTATTTCTATTATAAGAGCTTGGTGGTTAGAAACAACCAGGCCTCTTTGGGATCTCACACACTGAACCACTGTGAGCATCTCAAGAACACTACACTTTAAAACCCCTCATTTTTCCTCCCCAAGGACATCTTCTTTGAACATCTGGCATAGCAAGTAAGCACGTGGAGAACAAATGCAAAATTAACCCAAGCACTATCAAAGAAAGTAGTAAAAATAAAAACCAACCAAATTGGATTTGGGGAAGCTTCTGGTTAAACTTAGTAAATTAAACACATATATTTATCTCCACTCCTTACAAAGGCATGACCCAATGAGGACAGAGAGAAAGGCAAATGAGAAAACAACAACAACAAAAAAAACCCTGACCTTTTAGAAAATGAAAAGAAGATGAACATTAGTTGGCTTACCTAGTAGACCTACAGAAACCTAAGCTTTCATGGTGGAACAGGGTTGAAACTGGGTTGGGGGGAGGTACCCATAAGAAATCACCCAATTTTATCAAGAAACTCAAAAAGAATTGGAAATTGGAAGCTTCAAGTTCCTCCAAAGGCAGGGATACAGGGTGGGACTGAAATGAAGATAACTGGTTTAGAGTGTCCAAAAGGACCTATCTTTACTTTTTTGGCCCTTTCAGTAATAGTTTGCCAACCCCTGATCTAAAGCCTCAGATTCCTGCATAGAGAGGAAGTTACTTCTTCCTAACCCAGAAGATGCCAGGATATTTACTCTCTAGAGAGGATGAAACAGAAGGACTTGAGTCTTGGGGGCATCAGACTCAGCAAAGGACAGAAGGGAGGCTCCACAGTGAATACAGGATATGGAAGTGGAAGTCTTAATGCTAAACAGTGAAATAACCAGCTCCTTTATCTAGAGGCTCCCAGGATACAAGAAGTCAGGCTGACATCCTCCAAACAAAAGCCACACAACTAGCTTAAGAATAAAGACCTACCTGAGAGACCCTAAAAAAGTCTGCCTTATAGTGATGGCTTTCAGATGACAGGTATGACTCCTTCAGAAGGTTTGCAGTTCAACTCTTTGGTACTTATCCGTTAAAGAAGTATAGATTACCTAGGATCACTAGTTGTTTCAGTTAGGCCTCTAGAGAAGACAGAGATCAAAACTAAAAAGCAACACAGAGAAAACTTAGGAAATCTATTGAGCAAAAGGAAAGAAAAAATAAAAAGAGAGAGAGTGCAAGAAATCATAAGAACAGTCCAGAAGGTCCAATATCTGAATAATAGGAGTTAAAAAAAAAAAAAAAAAAAGAAAAAAAAAAAAAAAATTAGAAAAAAAAAAAAAAAAAAAAAGAGCATAGAAGAAACAAAATTTCAAAGAAATAATTCAAAAACATTTCCAAGAATTGAAAGGTAAGTGTCTGGACTAAAAAGGCTCATAAACATCCCAGAACAACTCATGTAGTTGCCATGGAGGTATATCATTGTGAAATATCAAAATATTGAAGAAAAAAAAGTTTAAAAACTTCCAAGTGGGGAAAAAAAAAAGTCATATGGAAAGGAAGGGGATCATAATGGGATCAAATTTCTCAACAAACTAGAAGATCAGAAGGCACCTTCCTCAAAATGCTAAAGGAAAATTATTTCCAACCTAGAATTCTATCTGAGGCCAAAATGTCAGTCAAGTGTGAAAATAGAATAAAGCTCTACAAAGTCTCAAAGAATTTACTTCCTACATACTTTCTCAGAAAGCGGTAGGATGGACGTGCCTTGGCAAAGTGAAGGAATAGGGTACATAATGAGAAAGAAAATCAGATCTGGAAATAGGCGATCCAAAACAAGATAACACATAAAGATTCCCAGACGGCACTATGCAGCAGGTTTAGAAAGTGATCAGTCCAAATTGGAGGAGGAAGCCAGAGGAGGCTGGAAAGATATTTCCAAGGGGAAAATAAATCAAACTTACAGAATATATATTGGGTTTGAATTTATTAAGAGGAAATGTTTCAGATTTTGAGGGAAGTTTGACAATCAAGAGTGACTGGTATAAAAAAACAAACAAAAAGAAATCTAAACAATGAGGCAAGTATTAACTGCAGAAAAAATACGAATTTGTGTAAGAAAGGAAACAGCATCACAGTACACTACGTAGTGCAGATGTCAATAGCTGGAGTCAAGAATATAAACTCACAATACTGACAAGCTAGGAAAAAAAAGAAAGGGGGACATAGTACATCAAAAAGAGGAATGGTACATGTAGTATGGGTAGGTTTGGGGTTGGAAATATAGGGGAATTAAATCCTTGCCTTTCCTGGTATGAATATGAAGATATCTTAATTTGATATATAAATAATATCTATAATTGGAAACTGAAGGAACAGTAGTACAAGTGTGTTATGTTGAATTACAGATTTAAGTTCTAAAAGAAATAGCTATGAGAGTTAAAAGTAGTAGCCTCGGGGGAGAGGAAGCTGGGGAAAAGGGGACTGGAGTTGGAACAGGGAACCATTCATTTTCATTTTAAGTCTGGGGGTATTGTTTGTCTTTTTAAACCACTTACTTGTTTTGCCTTGCAAAGAAAAACAACACAAAGTTAAACTGTGGAACTGGAGTAAATGTTTTAATCCTCAGCCTCTTAAAGAAGGGGGAAGGAGACAGGAAATTCACAATCATTGAGAAACGACCCTGCATGAGGGCTTGGTTCCATACTTTCATGTTCTATAGTTTAGTTTTCAGAGCCACTGAAGGGGGTCAGAGCAAATCTCCCCAAAATGTGTCATTTTGGCATGCGGACTCTTTTGAGCTGAAGGCAACCAAGACCCTGCGGGCCCAAGAAACTTCTGCCTCGTCCTTAACTACCTAGAAGAATCTAAGTTGGGGTTTTTTCCTAGAATTAGAATTATCACTAGGAATAAATTTTATCTGAGCAACCCATCAGTATGGCAGGGCAAATATCTAATTACCAAACACCTGTCTTCTTACTGCCTATGAATTGTCCTCCTCCCCTTTAAAGCCCCAGGCCTCTATCCCATTCCTTAGCTCAGCATGACAGAAATACATCATTGTACCTTTCTGTCTTTGAACCTCTCATGTATAAGGTGTTCCTGTATTATGAAATTAAATTTAACTTTCTCCTGTAAACCAGCCTCATATCAATTTAATCCTTAAACCAGCTGGAAGAATCTTTGAAGGATAGAGGAAAATTTTCCTCCCGAACACTATTGTGCCATGAGGTATTTTTATGTTATAGATGAAGAACCTAACATTCAGAGCGGTTCAATGACTTGCCATAGGCATGCTATAGTTGAGCAGAGTATGTGGTTTTCCCTAATGACTCTTTAAGCCCATAGTCCTCGCTTGCTTTGCAGCAATGCCTCTCAGGGAATGGGAAACTCTGGATAAGCTCACATTCCAACTGCTGTTAGAAACCTCCACCCCACCAGCACTCAAACTCTTGACACCTCTAGAACAGTTCCTTTCCATACCAAATCTAGAAACTTTTCCTAGGTTCCTAACAGCTCATCCAAGCTCAAAACTCTGTATCTCTTCCTTCTTGGATGACTCAACACATGAAACCATGTCAAATCCCAACAGTTCTCCTTACAACTATACTTGTGCTAGACTCTGCCCCCTCATTTCCACTGACAAGACCCTCAATGTACTCTCATTGTACTGAAAGCACTGCAGTAGGCTCCCTGCTCCAGTCATTCAAATCTCTAAATCAGTTAATTCATTTAATATGTACTATGTGCCAGGACTCTTCTAGGCACTGGGGATGTAGCAATGAAAAAAAAATGAAGTCCTTGCTCACATCTAGTTGAACAGGTTAGGGGACAAGTACATTTACAAGTCAATGAAGAAATTCATCCAGTTACTGATAGCACTGTGAAGAAAAAGAATGCTGGTAAATGATAGAAGGTATAACTTGAGCAGGGGCTACTTCACATCAAACGTCAGGAAAAGCCTCTTTAGTTAAGGAGCTAACCATGTGAAGACCTGGGGGAAGAACATTCCAAACAGATGAGCAAACAGATGAGCAAGCAGATGCAGAGACCTTAAGGTGAGAAGGAACCTGGATGTTTAGGAAATACAAGACTAGAGTGGTAAGAGCTGAGTGAGGGAGAGGGGAGAAGGCAGAACATAAATTCAAAGAGAGGCGGGACAAGGTCACATAGGGTTACAAAAAGCCTTGTGGGTACAGCAAGGAGTTTGGATTTTATAACTGCATGTGTGATGAAAAGATGATGAAATCTTTAACCAGGAAAATGATAGTACTTGTTTACACTTGCAAAAGATTACTCTGTAGTATGAAACAGATTAGCAGGGCAAGCATGGAAGCAGCAAGTCACTAAAGAAGGTGCAGTGGCAGCCCAACTGACAGGTAACAGTGGCTGAGGTGAGCCTGCTGACAGTGGAGACTGTCAGTAGAAGCTGGGTCTGGGATATATTCTGCAAGTAGAACCAAAAGGGCTATTCATAGAAAGAATATGGGGACATGGGAAACAGAAACATCAAAGTTTACTCTAGTAAGAAGCATACATC